AAAGTAGGATTGTTGGGTCATAGGTGGGCTCTATATGAAGTCTTTTGAGGAACCTCCATACTGCTTTCCAAAGTGGTTGAACAAGTTTACATTCCCACCAACAATGCAGTAGGATTCCCTTCTGGCCACATCCTCTCCAGCATCTGTTGTTATTAGAGTTCTTGATTATAGCCATTCTAACTGGGGTGAGGTGGTATCTCAATGTTGCTTTGATTTGCATTTCTTTTATGGCTACAGAGATTGAGCATTTCTTCCTTTGTTTATTGGCCATTCTTATTTCTTATTCAGAGAAGTTTCTTTTTAAGTCTTTAGCCCACTTATTTATCAGGCAGTTGTTTCTTTGAGGATTTGCTGTTGGGGGATTTAATTTTTTGAGTACCAGGTGTATTTTAGATTAAGACCCTTGTCCATTGTATGGCTAGTGAAGATCTTCTCCCAATCCTCGGGCTTTCTATTGATCTTGCTAGCTATGTCCTTTGCCATGCAGAAGTTCTGCAACTTCATGCAATCCCACTTGTCCAACCTCTTTTTTGATTTGTTGTGTTCCTAGGTCTCTATTAAGAAAATTTTGACTTGTGCCAAGGAGACCTACCTAGGGTTTCTCCCATTCCTTCCTGAAATGTTTTCAGGGTGTCAAGCAGGTCATTTTTAAAGGTGATGATTCTTCTTTCCTTTTTTTTTTCTTTTCCTATAAATCTTGTTTTCCCTTCTTATCTCAATCTGCTAATTGGTTTACCTTGTTTGTAATTAAAATCACATGTTTATTTTAATGTAGTTCTATGTCTGATTTAGTATTTCATACTGTGACATGCAAGAATAGAAAACAAATCATTCTTCATAAGGGAAACAGTCAATGTATCAAACATACATGTAATCTAATGTCAGGGGAATTGATTAGCAGCTGGCTATGAATTATTTTCTTGAAAAAAATTTCCAAAATATAAACTTACCAGCACAGATATTACTATCTATATTCTTTTAATATACAGAATAACTGGGGACTGTATCTGGACAAATTAAAACTGATGTGTTAGTTATCTTTCCATTCTAATACCAATGTCTTAGAAAACCAATTTTGGAGGAGGAAAGGTATATATTTTTGGCTCATGGTTTCAGAGGTTCCAGTCCATTTTCAGTTGGTCCCATTGTGTTTGGGCCTGTGGTGGGACATCATGGTGGGAATGTTTGGTTTAGGAAACTGCTTCCCTTATCGTTGAGAATGAGAGACCAAGGTAGCACAATTCCCTTGGAGAGCAAGTCCCCCGTGACTGGCCATCTCCTCTTACAAGTCCCACCATCCCCAATAGCATCACACTGGGGACCAGGCCTTTGACATTGAGGCCTTTGGGGAACATCTGATTTCCAAAGTACAGCAATTGAAGACTATACTTTCAGGGATCATTTCTATAGTTCGTTACCAAAGTACAGCAATTGAAGACTATACTTTCAGAGATCATTTCTATAGTTCGTTACCAAAGTACAGCAATTGAAGACTATACTTTCAGGGATCATTTCTATAGTTCGTTACCAAAGTACAGCAATTGAAGACTATACTCTCAGGGATCATTTCTATAGTTCGTTACCAAAGTACAGCAATTGGTAGCAATGCTTTTTTTTTTTTTTAACCTTGGGAAGGGAACTTGTGGATGAATGCAGGAAAGGGAGACATTTGTTACTCATTTTATGCCTTACAAATTGGTACACTATGAATTGATTAGCTATTAGCTCTGGAACAGATTAGGTCTGTGTGTAATGTTTGACATTGATCTTCCCATATATTTGTTGATCCAAACTACCTGCAGTTACTGTAGTGCTTGCAATTTTAATGTCATTTTTATAAAGTTATCATTTTGTCATGACATAGTTCTTGCGTTCTGCATAATATTCATTTCAAATACTGATGCACCATATGTCCATTAAACTTGCTATTTTATCAGCCAAGGACTATTAAACCACTGGATAAAGTAGAAATGCCATGATGTACAAAATATTGCTCATCTCCTCATATAGTCCTCGCTTGAGATTTAGTTCTTAAACGGACAAATATGACGCTATCACTAATGGTTTAGTGTGAAGAAGGAGTGTAGATAAGTACTTTGGACATGTGTGAGATGGGTAAGGTTCACACAAGTCTTCTCATGATCACCACAGGGTCAATTAAAAATGTTAAATGCATACAAAATACAACAATCTATCCACCTGTTTGTTTTTCTTACTGATTCCAACCCCAAATATTTTTGAATTTTATTTTTTAATAAATATTTTTATTGTAAAGATACTGTACAAAGGGGTTACAGTAACATGAGTAAGGTAATGAGTATATTTCCTATGGAGCATTGTTACCCCCCTCCTTCGTTTATCCCCTAATATCCCTTCCCTCCCTGCTCCCCCCTCCCCCTCCCCCACCTTCCACCAAGCTGTAAAGTTTTTTTCAACAGTGTCTTGTACATCTCATTGTTACAGTGGTTCAACTTGTATCCTTATTTCAGTATTTTGTTATTTTCCTTCCCCTCCCCAAATTAGAAAAATGTATACATAAGATGCAGGGCACTAGAACCAAATCCTGTGAAAACAGGGGTTATACCATGGGGGAAGAACATACAAAAGAAACAAAAAAATAACACAGTACATTATAAATACATTAAAAACAACAGCAACGAAGATAAAACCTCTTGTGTCCCTATCTTGGGGTTCATTTCGCTTAGCATAATCTTATATGGTCATATGTACATAGCTTTTGACTTTTTCTGCTTGCCCTAGACCTATACTAGTTATTGCAAATAAGGAAAACCATGGGACCTGTTTCTTGGGGCCTGGCTTACTCATTTTTTTCCAAGTCTTTCCATTTTCTAACAAATGGTGTGTTGTCATTCTTCCTGATGGAGGCATAGAATTCCATTATATTTACATATATATGTATACATAAATATGTATATATATCATATTTTCTTGTGATATATATCACATTTTCTTGATCCATTCATCTACTGAGGGGCATCTATCTGTCCAACCCCAATTTTCATTGGTATATCTGCTTTTACAATTCTCCCAAAAATCATAATATCACTTGGTTTTAAAAGCTGAAAAGGATCCTAATACTAATCAAAACATTAAATGAGTAAGAAATATCTGCAGAAAAGTTATTAGACTTTTTTTTTTTTTGGTTTAATGTTGCTTTCTTCTTCAACATTCAATCTAGCTGTCCACCAGATTGGCATCTTCCTGGTAACTGTGATGGATCAGATCAAACCTTGGAATGTGCACAGTGGATCAAAGGAAAGGTTTTACAATTACAGACAAGTTTTCTATGTATCTATCTCACAGATGAACAAGAACTGCTATCAGTTTTTGTTGTGTATTATCTTTGTGTGCATGTGCATGGTACTAGGGATTGAACTTGGTCCTGCACTTTACCACTTGAGCTCCATTTCTGCTGTGTACATATTCTATGTTAAACAACTGCCTTTGTTGTGGAAGTATGAAAAGGCTTCTAGTTCATTTGTGCACTTTATGGCATTGTGATATGATCCATCTTTTCTATTTTGCTTGTGTACTGCAGCATGGACAGTCCTGTCCCTAAAATCTCCTTTGATGTAGCCTGCAGGTTTATGACATTTTAACACTAAATGAAAAGTGAAAAGCTTGTTCATATTAATTTCATAGACTTAATGAGAGTTACCATCTCTAATATGGTGACTGGCTACAAATACCTTTACTGCACTGTTACATTCTTTATGATAATAAACACCTGTAAAGAAATATTACCCAGTAATAGGTTAAACAAATTGTAGTTGATCAAAATTTTATTAGAAGTTCTGTTCATGATATATTTTTGAATTGGAAAATCTTGTTGCTACATATATGATTTTATTTCACTGAAAAGTCTGCATATATGCACATTCATATTTTATGATATATACATGTGTGTGTGTATATATATATATATATATATATATGTAAACTACCTATGTGTACTTATACAAATAACTAGTACAGAAATGCCAGGAGGAAACAAAAAACTAGAGCAGAGAAATAGTGAACTAGAGAGAACTCCCTTCTTTATTCATAGCTTTATTTCAGCCTCTAGGAACTAAAACTTGAAAGGGAAGAAAATAGGTTAAATTGGGAGATGGGTGACTTGTTTATTTGCAAATTCTAATGGTCTTAATATTGTCTTTAATTTGTCGTAAACATCAGGTTTTACATCACTTTAAAAGAACCATTTTATAACCAAAATTTCAGTCAGTTCTAAAATGAAATGTGTAGCCATTTTAGCCCACAAATAAGAATCAGAACACACTTTTAACACCATAATAGGAAGTCTGTTTACAAATAGCAGCAATATCACTCAAAATGTAAGTCCTGAGTGACTTTAATCATTATATAAAAATATGCCACATTAAATACTTCTTCACCAATAATTCCTTAATCATCTTAAACTCAGCATCAAGAACTCTGTAGATCCAACTTAGCATTATATGTTTACACATAGTGCACCTAGAACTCAAGAGAAGCTTCCAGGATAGCATTTACACAGCATTTCATTATTCTGTCAGCCAGTGCAGCTAGAAATTGGAAACTTTTTTGTTTTCTGTGGAACATGTTATAGGTGTACCCATTAATGTAAGAAAATGCAAGTATATATATGTATGTATATATATATATGAATATGAGAAAATCTAAGTTTATTATTAGAATGATTTTGGTGAACATGTACTTTTTCCTGTTTTATGAAATCCCTTCAAGACTTGAGAAACTTCACTATTTTTGCACATTTCAGAGTAGTGTTGGTATTCAAATAGCTTTGATTGATCTGGTGGATACTTATGGAGTAGGCAGGAGAGAAAAAAGTAGGGACAGATAGGAGATCAACAATCAACTACACTAGCAACAACTAACCGAAGTCAGTATGAACATTTTATCACACGACCAGAACCATGGAAAAATGGGAAGAATCTGACCTGGACATGCTAACAACAAGACATGAAAGATTACAGAAGTCAAAGTGTTTGGAAATCAGTTTATTCAACTTACAAATCAAAAATATCTAGGCAGGTTCATTAAGTAACATCACACTGAGGAACACACAACTAGGGACACCAAACTCCTATTGCGTACTGCTTTGGAAACAGTGAAGAATGAGTTTCCTTACAACTTAAATCAGTAAATTAACATTTCCTAAGTTTGTGTACATACCAACCACTGGGATACTGTTATTTTATAAACAGTTTTTGTTTCCTTATGTTAAAGAAGACTTTAACTTCTTTCTGATCTAAAGTGCAGTATATATGTTTCCTTTCAGACCTCTAAAATTACCATGTTTTTGTTATTACAGAATTTAAATCTATGTAAAAGTTTACTTTTTTATTAACAGATTTATCCATAAATAATACATTCAAAAGAATTTCACATGTTTAAATATTATAATATTTAACATTTTTAAATACTCACAAAATTCCTATTTTTGTTGAAATCTCTTCCTTCTTTTTGACCAATGCAATCTACAGAACTAGAAATTTAATATGCATACCTATAGCATTTATTGTCCTTAAGATGAATCAAATATTCTTATATAGCAATTAATGAAAACTTAATGAATAGACATTTATATTGATATTTGATACTTTCTGAGAAAAATGGGGAAATCATGATCCTCAAATAGATAAATATATTCAAGTGAGTATTCCAGGCATGAGTCTCCTCTCCTTTGGGTCTTAGAAAGTAAACAATAGTACAGTACTGAATTTTCATCCACTTACCAACACTCAGCTTCACTTCTCTATAGGAGAAAAGATGGTTTTTTTTTCAACCAGGTAATTTCAGCAAAAGTTGAATACAGTTTTATGCAAGGAAGAAAACATGTATTACCATATAAGACAAAAACAAAATCACATTTGAGGAAATGACTTGCTGAGTCTTTGCACACATCTTCATTTCATCCTATCATGGAAGGGACACTAAGAAGTCAGTATTTTGTTTCCTTTTTAAGACAGCCCCATGAGAAGGCAGTGCTTTATTTTCTTGAGTGATATAGCTTAGACAGGAAGGTGGAAAATCTGTCATGCCAAATAATCACTGTCAACTTGTCTGAGTTAACCTCACCTTCAGAAAGTGAGGGAAAGTGCGAGGTTCAGGGTTGTAAATAAGACTAAAGATTTACTTAATGCTCACAACTCACAGTAACAGGAAGCCACTAAAAATATAGAAGGAAATGATCAGAAACCTTAATAAAATATTTAATGTAAAATTTATGACATGCATTTAGCTTTGATCTCCTTTCCCTTCTTCTTTTTATTTTATGTAACTTGTAGATATATCTTTAGTGCTGAGTAACTGAATACGAGAAACACCAATACACTCTGACAGGTGTTGTATTTGGTACAACGGTAAACACATGGGTGATAAGAAATGCCCTGAACCTCATGTTGATAATACACATATGTGGTCATCAGTTCAGTTTCATCAAGTCTTTGTCCTGCTCTGGCAGTATCAAAGGGCCTCTAGTTTTATTTACATGAGATGATCTTACAAAGTGATTCCTTATAGCTTAAGTCACATACAAACAGAACAAGGTAATATTTAAGCTCATGAAAACTTCCAAAGCTCCTTTTGAAATTTATTATATAACATGTTGAGTTTTCAGATCTTAATACTAGACACTAGATGTTCAAGCAACTCCTTAAATCTTATGAATCCTTAGCTCGTTTTGTAGACTTTAGGAGGTTCACCATGTCTGCTAACTAGAAGCTACTTCTTCAGGATCAGCTAGAGTAGGCTTGGATTCATGCAAAGTCCTGATAGATTCTGTGATCAGTGAGGTTCCATGGGAGTGTGAAAGTGAAGAGGGAGCTTGGCGCTGGCCTTCCTTAGATGTGTAATAAGTTATTTAGTTTCTCTGGGCCTAAGGACTTTTAGCTGAAAAAGGCAGAGCAACATCTACCCTAAACAGTTGTTTTAAAGATGACAAATAATATTTATAAAGATCCAGCAGAGATGATAGAAGTGTTTCTTTCTTTTCCAGGTATAATCTATTGTCTCTGCAATGTATTATTGATTAAAGCAGCATTTCAACTCTGAGAGCAGAAAATTGGGGTCTTTCCTAAATCCAAGGAACAGGTCCAGGAGGAGATCAGTTAATACAAGGATAGACAAAGATCAAATAAATAAATACAAGTCCTTGGGAAAATCTCTGTATCAGTTAAGGGGATTGTAGTTGCCCTCACTATTACAGCTTTTATATGATATCACTATATCGATAACCTTGAACTCCTGAGGAATTGCCTAGGTCATGTGTAAGTAATTACTACCATGAAATGGATGTCTTTTGGTGTCACCAAATGGTCTACAAAGTGTTAAGTTTAGAAAGAAAAATTTCAGAGGTGATCCCATTTATTATAAATTGACTATGATTATCATATAAAATTGGAATAGATAAATTAGACTTAAAACATAAGGAAATTTCTAAATAAAATATTCATTGATTAAACTGCTGCTAAAACTGTTGTCTCAGTCCACAAGATTCTACCTTGGGTAGAGATGATGCAATTGCTTTGAGCTAAAGATCAATGTAAGCAAAAGTCACCTACACATATCTCCCAGCAGCAATTTATTTAAAAGCCCAAATCTAGATGCACACCAGAATCCACTAATCACTCTGACTGTGATACCAAATGGCTTGTACTTTATCATTGGGAATAAACATAATTAACATGCATAGTTTATATAAAGTAATCACAGATCATTTTACCTTAGAGATTATCAGGGCATGATAAAGCTTTCTGCATTTTCAGCACTAAAAGCAATCTAATTAGTAGCATTTCATTTGAGGCAGCTGATCTATGGCTTGAAAAAAAAATGTTCACACTGATTAAACTCCAAAGTATCATTTTCCTCGTTACCAGAAATATGTGGCACTTAATTGAAATCGATTAGTTTAACTGGAAGTAATGGAATGAATGGCTTTTAACCGATGGCTAAAGCTGGTGAGCTGACAAATAAGAAAGTTATCAAAACACCTTTGAAAGCATGGTTCTGCTGGGAGGGCTCCATGGAGGAAGGGACCCATTTTCAAGCAAGGAGTGACGTTTCTTCTGTTTCCTCTCAATTCTCTCCTGTCTTTCTTTCTTTTCCTAAAGAGATATGACAATAAAATTTAAAAATACATTTTAAGAATACATTCTTCTGTGAACATTATTTTTTAAACTTTATTGTCAAGGTAGTATACAGAGGGGTTACAGTTATAAACATAACTTTCTTGTCAAACTTGTTAGCCCCCTCCCTCATTTTTGTCCCGCTTCCGCCACTCCAATCCCCAAGTTATATAGTTCATTTCCAACATATTGTCTTGTGACTATCCTTGTTGCATTGGTTTGCCCCCTTCCCTTCCTTAGTTCAGATAAACGTATATACAATATCCAGGGTACCAAAATCAAATACAGTGACAACAGAGGATAAACCAAAGTAGAAAACACACAAAAGAAAAAAAAGAAATCACATAGTATATTAAAAACAACCTCAAAGAGAAACCTCTTGTTTCCATTTCTTGGCATTCATTTCTCTTAGCATTATCCTATATGGTCATATATACATAGCTATTGAGCTATTCTGCTCATCTGCTAAACTATCCTAAACATATACTAATTATTACAAATGAGGGAAACCACGGGATCTATGTTTCTTTGGGTCTGGCTTACTTAATATGATTTTTCCAAGTCTTTCCATTTCCTTATGAATGGGGTGATGTCATTCTTTCTGATAGAAGCATAGATTTCCATTGTGTATATATACCAGCTGCCCCTCAGTAGATGAATGGATCAAGAAAATGTGAACATTATTTTTATGAAGAACAAAGTAACTCATGAAAAGATGTTAACATGACTTCTTAAACTGATAATGAAGAAACAACAGCTAGAGCTAACTTATATGTGTACTAATGTTGCATCACTTAAAAAAATTAACTGTGTGTGTGTGTGTGTGTGTGTGTGTGTGTGTGTGTGTGTGTGCCAGTCCTAGAGCTTAATCTCAGAACCTGGGTACAGGCCCTGAGCTTTTCTTGCTCAAAGGTCGCACTCTACCACTTGAGTCACAGCTCCACTTCCAGCCTTTTATTTTGTTTTTGTTTTTTGATAGTTAATTGGAGATAAGTCTCACAGATTTTCCTGGCTGAGCTGACTTTGAACTGTAATCCCCTGAATAGTGAGGATTATAGGAGTGAACCATCAATGCCGGCTTTGCATCACTTTTTGTCATTAAGAATCATCACTCCCATTTGTAATTCAAATATAGTGGGACATGACATAAATTGCCATATGCAACAAGTGACAAGTGATAGGGCATGGCAACAAGAACTATTTTACATTTCTTAGAGTTGAGAATTCCACCTCTAGTTGCTTTCTATCACTGAGTTTGAGAAAATTCTCAATCACTGCATTAGCCCTTACATGAATTTTCTGCTCCATTATTTAGGCCACCTTATTATATATGGATATCAGTGCCTTGCTTTTTAAATTTTATCCATTTGAATGTTTTCAAATAATAAACATTATTTTCCTTACCTTTCAGTAGCCCTTAATTTTTACCAATATGTACAAGAATATTTCAATTATGAAAAGTAAGAGCAATATTCCAAATTTAAATGTGTCCAGTACTTCTGAATCTACAGTGTCCACTGGATCCTTCCTGTTCTCCAGCCTACTGAAGTGAGAGCTACTCTAACCTAGTGCTTACTTAGCACTTAGCACAGTACTACTGCAGTGTTTCTCCTAATATTTTTATTACAAACCATTCTCAAACCAAAAGCAACTGTTTCAGAATTTTAAAATGAATACAATAAGGTATCTACCATGTTATGAATATTTTTTGCAACCATCTATTTTTGTGTTTCTTTTATAAATCCACCCACATAGCTTAAGTTTTTCTTCCACATATGAAATTCCAGCATGTGTACAACATGTGTATTGTAAGATACATAGGCTAATTTTATATTTTTTCATCCCAAAACAATGCTGCCATAAACATGCTTGCTTCTTTGTGCACAAGTCATTTTGCACACATTGTATGAGTACATACATACAGTGATACACATTTAACCCTGCTGCTTTGTAACAGATGCATACATCCAACTTTACTGGACAATGTCAACTAATTAGGCAGCAGTAAGTGTTCACTTTCCAACCAGTACCTACAAGGACTGTTTATTTGATGAACTAGTAAGTTTAAATTTGGTAACTGTTCATGTTTGTTTTCTTTTACAATTTCTTGTAACAATTCTAGGTTTAGAGAAGTATGTCTCTGTGAGGTTTGATAAATGTTAAGTTCTATTTTTTTTGTCCTATTGTTTAGTATTTTACATTTATCACGTTCATTCTTTGGAGCTTCTTTTGGTATAATGCAATGTTTTGATGTTTTATTTTAAAATATTGCATTAATAATCATAATAGTGATTATCCTGTGTCCATGAATTTGTGTTGCTGTATCATATATTATGTCCTTATATGGAATAAGTTCTGAGGTTTCCTATGGGTCTATTATGCTACTGGCATTACATTGTTTCAATTTCTGCTCATTCATTCATCACTAAGCTCTGAGCTTTTTACTCTAGGTCAATCATAAAATGATCAGAAAATCCAAACACAAGCCAGGTCCATAGCTCATGTCTGTGATCCTGGTTCTTGTAAGGCTAGGAAGAAGAGGACTGTAGTTATAAGTCAGCCAAGGCTGAAAAGCTCATGAGATCCCTTCTCAATTCATAGTGTGTAAGGATAGATACTTGTCATCCCAGCTATGTGCAGTTCCAGCTCAGCTTGGGCAGAAAAGTCCATGAGGTGCTATCTCAATAGAAGAAGCTAGGTGTGCTGGTATGTACCTGCCACACAACTATGACAGGAATCCTAAAATAGGCAGATCACAATCCAAGCACAGGTCCATACAGGAAGCAAGAGTCTATCTCCAAAAAGGGCTTGAGATATGGGAGAGGTATAGTGCTTGCCTAGCAAGTGAGAAGCCCTGAGTTCAGACCTCAGTAATGCCTCCCAAAATTCAAAAACATACATATGGTCTCAGTTACCTAGAGAAATTTCAAAATGGACAGATAAAAAATAGACAAACAATGGTTTGTAAATAGGAACAGAGAATTCCAAATTGTGTGTATTCCTATGAAACATAAAATCATTTTTCAAAAAGAATCAGAGAGAGCACTTTCAAAGGAAAGTGGATTCAGCAAGTTATCAAAGTGAGACATAGAGAACAAGAGAAATCATTTGTGGTATGTTGGAGGAAAACCAATTCAAGTACAGAGAACAGCAGGAGTAAGCATCAGACAAGTGGAAGAAAGCTTGGGATATAGGGGGAAACAGACATCCAGGATGTTCAAATTTGATGCGAAAAGGAAGAGGATCAAATGAGAATAAAGAGGGAGATGAATAACACACGGGGCTCTGCATGCTGAGGTAATAATGAAAATTTATGTAAAGGATTGTGACTCAAGTAGCATTCAGAGTAATGCAGAGATAGAAGGAGAACTAGGGGAGTGTGACAGCCAGGAGAGGGGACAGTTATAAGATGGAGAGGAAACCAACCCAAGTTTGCTTCTGAGGGGAGAGAAGCAAACCCTGGAGTGGCCAGAGGGTCTAGGAAATCTATAATTTTCGAAGTGTAGTATGGGCGAGTAAGGGAGGCAGAGATAAGACTGTAGTCAGTCAGGGTGAGAAAGGTGTGAAGAATTATGGAAGGGAAAAGCAGAACATGTGGGATCATAGATAGGATGAAATGCTGAGTCCAAACAGCTTTTACTGATGCATACCTCAACTGGCACAGAAAGGCAGAAAGATTGCTACTTCATAAAGGAGACAAATGGTCAAGCTTTTTTTTAAATAGAGAAATCATTTTGTTTCATATCATTTAAATTATCTTCCACAGTTTTACATTTTTTACTACACTAGATAGACTTTGGAACTATTTCAAAACAGAGAACCTCAAAAGGAGTCTGTGTAGGAAAATGGATGAGGGGCATGGTATGGAATCTGAACATTTTCCTATGCAGTAACTTAGATTTTTTCCATTTGTTTGAGTCTCTGTGAACACTATAAAGTGCTCCCTCCTACTGGACATCTCCTCATATTCCTTCAAGAATCCCTTAGACAACCATGACTAGGGTGATGGCTTGGAAAAGACACTGGGTAAATTTGTGGTTGTCTATGCAACTTTCATTGTGACATAGATGATTATGAAATGTCGGAAGAGCAATATAAGATACAAGATTTGCATGTGCATAGAATGGTCACGTACAACAGTGCTATAACTGTTCCTTTTTCCAGTTTTAACATCTTTGCCTATGTTATCTGTCAAAAGAATGTTTGCAAGCTTGCTAATCCTATTAAAGCAAAGGGAAAACTTGTTGCAGAATCTTAACTGAGAAAAGAAACATTTTAACTAGATAATTGGCAATCATTTTAGTATTTTGGAGAAAGGCAGACCATCCAATTGAGTAGGAGATAAATCAGTAACTGGTTACGTCCACATTGACTGAATAAGCCCACATTGATTGAATAAGCTCTTTGTTCAATGCACTCAGCATTCAGAGAGAAAAACCAAAACAAAAAACCAAAAACCTTGAAACACATTTGACCTTGTTAGTAGAATCCTGAAAAGCCAGGATATTAAATAGGCCATTATTACCCTGAATAGTTATTAACAGGAATCAATAATGTTACTTTGGTAACAATTAAAGAAGTCTTTTGAATGTTATCTATAGTAGACAGAAATCTCTGGGGGGTTTTTGTTTGTTTTTGAGGTGGGATCTTACTGTCCAGCAGGCCTTAAACTCCTGGGCTCAGAATCGTTCTCATAGGCACATGTTTCTATGCTTTAGCATGTAACTTTTTCTTTTCTTTTTTTTTTTTGTTAAGGGTTAACTATGAATTAATCTTGGAGTTGGCATGAAGGGACACTTAGTTAATCTTCAGCCCTAAGTTTCTTCTAAAACAATTACCATCATCTACTTTTAACCCAAGCTAGAAGACATATGAAAATTTTGAAATGTTGTTTTATTTGAACATCAAGGTCAATTTACTACCTGACAGGGACACTTTGCCATTTTATTTGGAAATTTGTTTTTCACTAATAACTGGGTAAGACATAGAGATCTTTAATAGGTTGGTATTTATAGTTTATAAGCAGATTTATAGTTATACATGTTTCACTATAAAATGGAAAACCTTATCAATGATAAGTAACTGTTGTAAACAGTAAATTGAACTTATATATATGCATTTATGGGTAGGAAAGTCCAGGCAGATAGGTTCTTTCTAAACCTCAAATTTGTTTTTTAAAGTAGAAAACACCTACATGAACCTTCTTCTCAAGGTCACAACAAACATCAGAAGAAAATAAGAAATAAACTAACTTTCTCACCAGTAAATTCAATGATCCTGTGTGAATGACCATGTTCACCTAAAATATCATGGCATAGCTTCATGAAGGTACCTGTCTACTTTCTCCTGATGTGAGAACCTTTCTCTACAAGTGACATCCACTGCAAAGGAAGGATGGACATGACTTGTAGATGACCAGAGGTGGTAATGTGAATCCAGATGCACATTATCCTTGAAGTTTAAGTCTGGAGGCTTCAGTGAACAGTAGAAATGTTAACAGAAATGTGCAAATCAAAGAAAATACTACCCGTGCAGTAGACACTGAATTCCTCAGGTAGAAACAGCCAGTAGATATGAGACAAGTGAACTGCATTTAGGGCAGAAAAGGTACAAAAACAATGCTATAGGAAAACATAGTGCATTAAGAAGTAACACCTACCAGCCATTTCTCATATTCATTGATGGCTTGCTTATCTTTATCTTTTTTCTCAGCCCTTTTCAGCTCTTCCTTTCTTTTTTCATTTATTTTCTCCTTTTCTTTTTGCTTGAGAAAAGCTTCCTTTTTTTCATTCCTATGGAGGACAGCATAAAAGAGATCTATATATAATAAAGATTCCCTAGTAAAGCTTTGGCAATGAGATTGAGAGACATGTCAAGTTTCAAGTGAATACATTTTAGAAAAGAGCTAAGAGTTAAATCCAAGACTATCCAAACATTATTTTGGATTACCATCTCTCAACAGCAGTTAGGCTATCTTTCTTTTTTTCGGCAACACTCTCTTCTTCTTTCTGTTTCTTTGCTCTTTCGTATTCCTTTTCCTTTTTATTTTTCTCTTTAAGATATTCCATTTTTTTCTCTTTCCATTTTTCAAAAGCCTGAAAAAGTTCAGAATGATTTTCTTAGTCACTGTGGCTGTTACAGAAGAAGTAAAAACAAGTAAATACTATTTCTGATTTCAAATACTGAAACACAACTAAGAAAGGCATGAGAAGTTCCAGAGTACTTGCTGCGCTTCGCTTTTTCTCATGGCGTTTTCTTCTTCCGTTTTCTTCTTGTTCTTTTCCTCCAGCCTCTTTTTTGCAGCTATTTTCTTGGCTTCCTTTTCCTTCATCGCTTTCCAGGCCTCAAATGATGCTAACGCTTCTTCTCTCTTGGCTGCTCTTTTCTATTTCAGAAAATGTAGCAGGCAGATACAAATGTATATATAAGTAGACAAATACAGATGTAGCTATTATCATCCATCTTTTGTTGTTCATCATATATGGAAAATAAGTTAAAAAGATTATTTACTTAGAATGGGTCAGAAAAATTAATTCATAAAAAATGTTAATTGTATTGTTCAATGCATTCATTGTTCACTGCATCAAAATAGGCTATGTGGTGCGAGAAATGGATCAGTAAAAAAATAAATCTGGAAAGTTCTAAGTCACAGGAAGTAAAATTAACCAAGTCACACAGTCAGGTAAAGATCTCTAGCTTGATTCCCATTTCCAAACAATAAAGTTTTAAGTATTCAAAGACATATTAAATATTAAAAATAAGGCCAGGCTTATAATATGACCCTGGCTACTTAGGAGGCCAAGATCTGAGGATTAAGGTTCAAAGCCAGTCTGGGCAGGGAAGTCCAGAGACTTACTTGCAATTCACCACCAGAAGGCTGGAAATAGAGCTGTGAATCAAGTGGTAGAGCACCAACCTTGAATTAAAAAGCTCATGGACAGTGCTCACGCTCTAAGTTCAAGTCCCAGTACCAGTACACACACACAAATCCTGAGAATCAGTTCCAGACTAGAAAATACATAGGTAGTGACCATATTATCTTATTCAAGGTTGGTCTTGAAGAAAAATATAAAACTCAAAAAAGAATAGAAGAGAACTAAAGATGAATGCTTGGTGCTCCTTTGTGTTCTTGGCTAAGATCTAACTGAAGTCAAGTTTAAGAGTGATTAGGTGGTCATAAATAATAACAAGCTCATTCTCAGTCATGCAATACCTATTTCATGCTTAATAACTAAACTAAAAATTGCTGTTTCTGTGCTTCCATGGAAACCTGCCATATTGAAGTCAAGCTAAAAGTCTATAAAGTACGAGGAAAATGAATCAGAAATCAATTCTTTTATACATGTCATTTCACCACTAGAAAGACAGTTGATTTAGGAAAGTTTAATATTCAGAGATACTCTACTCCCATAAAAATTCAGAACAATTTTCACTTCATTCACAATACCTGTTCATTTTGGATCCTTAGGTTTTCACTTTCAATCCTTTTTATTCTGTGCATTTCATGTAAATATACATTTTTCTTTTCCAACCACTCCTGTGAAAATATGAAAAGGGACATATGGTAATTAACATAGCCCAAATGAGTTAGAATGATCAATTTCTGAAATATTTGACTAAAATGTCAAAAATGAAAATACAAACATAAATTTTGTATACAAACCAGTATAATTTTCTAACAGTATTCTGATCTATAAAGATGAAAATGATTTAAGAAAATTACATGTGTATTATCTCCCTTATATTAACCATATATATTTAAAATATTAACAGAATGGGAAAACATTAACATTTTTCTCTAAAATGCATATGCACAACTTTGTAATGTGTATTATTCTATATAACAAAACAAAAAGGCCTTTAACTGTGAAAAAAATAGGAAATTCTTTCATAGTGTATGTTTTACAAAAAATGGTAGAGACTATTCATGCTCATTAATATAAACTTTAAGAACTATTATAATGAACATACGTTGTACAAGATTGGTCTTTACTATATGGCACCTTCCCTTAAACACAGCTCTGATCAATTAAATGAAGTATAGAAGCAATAATTTAGTAAAAGCAGCATTCTGCATAGCTCATATATTAAAACCCTTCCCGATAAAAGCAGCACTAAATCATCATTGCTGACAGATTCATTTTATCTCTAATGAACAGGCTGCTTTATGGCCATGAATAAATTCTCCTTTGCTTTAAAAATATTCTCCCTTACTTGATAAACAGCTGCTCTTATGTGATCTGCTCTGTCAGGTTCTATGTTCTGCTTCTGTGAAGGTTTTTGGTCCAAGACCTTTAAAGTCCCTAAATAGTGAGAAGAGGTAGTTGCCGATGGTGTTCTCCTTGTAGAACTGGGCTTCTTTAAAAATTCAGAGGTCATTAATCTGAAAAGTTCCAAATGGAGCAAGATAAGCTATTACAATTATATTCAGTAGAAGAGATAGGTATAAGAATATGCAATTGCTGTATTTAAAAACTGCATTATAATTTAGTTAAATAAATTATGATTATTTTGAATATGATCTAGGCTAAATTTTGTAACTTTAGCTTATGTTGGTATAAAGCCATTTCTTTTTATAAATTAAGAGCTTTTTCTTTTTTAGCTTTTACACCAATTTTATTCTCAGAGCCAAACAATAACCCTATCATTTCAAACCATTGTAGGGATCATATTCCTTCTAAAATGTACCAAAACTCATACTCAACAATGAGTTCTGGGTTGCAAAAGAGGATTTACTATTTGCACCTATCTGTAAGTATTTGTTACAAATTAAACAAAGATGCATAAAAGTGCTATGCAATTAGAGCCTTTTAAAGAAAGATGGATCAGATCACAAACTACGCATGATTAATAAAATGAGGTTTAATAATCCTTTTAATATTTTCTTGTAATATTTTGTTACACGAACTACTCTAAATATAAAGGCAGAAACACTGCTGCTTATTTCAGGGTTGGCGGGGGACTGAAGCCTCACCTGTTTGGTGAGTAAATTATTCCACTGTAGGTACAAGTCACTCATCTCCAACTGAGCGCTTACAGCAGGAAAAGAATGGTCAATAAAGCCTAAAACATGTCCTTTTTGCAATTTCCAAAAACTGCGGCCGATACTGCTCAATGTGATTAATAATAACTTTAAAAATCAAAGACTTGGATTAGTCTTTATGGATTAGTACTATTCATCATCAATCAAGACGAAGCCATGGAGCTTCTTACTGTAGCGAGCCTACCTAGTCCATAAAGCTGAAGACAAAGTGCAATTTTTCTTGTGCAAGACAAAGATATTGAGAGAAGAACCATGCTGATTCAGTCTGATTCTACTCTGTATCTACTGTTCCAGCAAAAGAAGAAACAGCTCTGTAATGTCCCAGACATTCAAACCATCACTAATATACTTAAGTCATTTTACTAACTACATATTATAAAAGAATGCAATCAATGGAGGGGTTTTACCATGAAGTTTCTAATCCTTCCATCTTTCAAGTTAAAACCTGAGAGTAAATACTAAATAAAATTTATTTTATAGAATTTAAATTAAAGTGGGTTTTGTGAGAATGCATATACATAAATGAGAGAAGTTGATAATTTTATTACCTGCCAGATGCACTGGATACTCTATTATTTGTTGGCTTTTTATTCTTCATTTCTCTGTCTTCAATTGTTTTCTAAATAAAACACATCATAGCTAGATCATTCAGTATGACTGTCAGTTACATTAAGAAGCTAAAATTAGGTGCTGGGAAGGTGGCTCAGTGGTAGAGCGCTTGCCTTGCATGCATGAGGCCCTGGGTTCGATTCCTCAGCACCACATAAGCAAAAAGAAAAAAGCCGGAAGTGTCAAGAACAGTAGGTATTAGGAACAGATCAGTGAAACAAATGGGCTCAGGCACACCTAATTTTACAAGGTAACAAGACAATAATCACAAAACAAAAGCTGCAGAAAAGACAGAACCGGGACAGTGACAAGGGGTAATGAGTAGTCACCTTAGTAAAGCTGATTTGAGCAAGCCTCTCTGGAGAATGGAACAAGGGCTGAGAGTGGAAAATGGAAAAGTCTCCAAGAAGTCCTCAATTAGGAGGAAAACACCTGAGGATTTTATGTTGTTGAGGACACGCACATCTCATGGAGCTAACACGTAATGAGTGGTAGGGGGACATGGTCACAAAGAATCAGGGAATTATGTGACATCAGTGGTGTTAAGGAGTTTGGATTTTACCCTCTTGATGAGAAACCAACAGACAGACTTTAGCAGGGAGGTGGTTAGATTCAGAAGTGAGAAATACTACTCAATAGAGCTAGAGAAAAAAGCAGGTCTAGTAAAGGAAATATGATCTTGTTTTGTAAGAATTACCTCTAGTAGACATTTTTAAGATCCCTTCTCTTTACTATAGACTGTTCTTCCTACTTGGAAGGAGTCACTAGTTTCCACACATGGGTTTGGGGAGGCGGGGGCAGTTCTTGCAGTACAGTGAGAGCACAGATATGAACACACCCTAACGTGGCAGGAGTATTTTCTAAGGAAAGTGGCTAAGGATGAATGTACCTGGTACATGCCTTAATGAACCTACTCCACACATTTTAATAAAAGACTGCATCTTTTATGAAAGTCCTGCTCAACCACCAGGTCTCAGCTAGCATTGTTTTTCTCCTGTAATAATGGATAAACCTAGCTGGGAGCTGTCTGCAGCTGTAAAAGATAAAGATAAAATTCAAAAGAAAAAATAACTAAAATATTATCCAAAATATTAACTAAAATAATATTATTCAATGAACTTAAAAGTAGAGTACTCTGCTACAACTTAGCACAGGTACAAATAATCCTACATACTACAAATTTGCTTCTCAAGATTATAATAGTAATGTTTCTAGTGGCCCTGTCCAACTATTTTAAAAAAAAGGATGTTAATAAACATTTTTCATTAAAATTCCCTAAGCATTTTAAAATGACATTAATATTTTACCAAGTTGAAATGTGGGAACTCCAGAGAGCTGTATTTTTTTTAAATCTAAAGACCTATTTGTGCTAGTTTTTAATGCAAAACTAGGTTTTATTGTGATAATTGCAAATTTTCTTTAAAGAAAAAATTCTATTAAGATGTACTTGTCAAAGGATGAGTTTTTCAAAGGTAAGACAGATACAATGAAAGAAAATAAACTATTTTAAAGTTCTATTTCACATTTTCAGCTGTAGTATAGAAGACACAAATACACAGATACCTTTGCAGATTCCTTTGCACTGGTGGATATTAACATACTCTGAGATTTAAAAAGTGGCAGATCAAGTGGATAATCATCCCCTGATTTCAATTCAGCCTGCTTTTCTTCAAGGTCAATGGCAGTCACTTGACTTTCCTTAGTTTTCTCAAGTTCAGGAGAGACACAGTCTGTTAAAACTGAATTTTCTTTGTTTCCATTTGATATCAAAGCATTAGAGTATTTGGTGAGGTCTCTATCCAGATCTAGGTTGAGACAGAGTGACAGCACTTAAGCATTCTTTCCAATTCATAAAATGGATGAGTCATTTATTTTCTATTAAATGAGAACTTTCTAGAGCTTCTTTTATCTTGCTTGTAAAATATGAAAATATCATATTCAACTTGAATAAACTTTTTTCAAAAGTGATCTACAAAAGTAAAAATGGCCATTCAATCTAAGGAAGCATTAGATGAAACTGATACTTAGAAAAACAGCCTACTAATATTTAGAATGTAGTAACTACAACAACAAAGATAAAGCCAAAAAGAACATGTTGATGTGCAAGCCACATAATGGAAGTGCATGATCTGTTTGGTTAAAGCAGAGAGAAAGAGAGAAAGAGAGAGAGAGAGAGAGAGAGAGAGAGAGAGAGAGAGAGAGAGAGAGAGAGAGAGAGAGAGAGAGAAAGAGAAAGAGAGTGTATATGTGTGTGATACATCTTTATGTGCTGCAGATACTCAGACACATACACTGCAGAGATGCAGGCAGAACTAAGAGCTAACATCATTTCACGCAGATTTAAGTTTCTTTGCCTCCATGAAACAGTACTATCACACTGAAGGCAAACCTATCATCTTACTCACTGCTCACTGGTATAGGCACGAGCTCTGGCATGAGAGGACTTGGATGTGCTTTTATACAACTGCTTCTATTCAGACTATGCCACACTTTGGAGTGCTCAATAGAAAGAAATCATCGCTATCTGTGATGTCATCAATGTTCATTTCTACCAGGATCTATGTCCTGGCCAAACCTAAATCTTCACTGCCCAACATCTTCCTTCTAATGCTTTCATTATGGCCTTTTTGTGGGAAACTTGTCTGGGGGGAAGTTTAAATCATTACAATTATATATATATATACATTTGAAGAGTACCTATGGCTCACTAATTTTTTGATTCACATGAGCTATACATCAATCTCTTCAGTGAAAACAGGAAGTTCGAACTTTGGAGCCTTAGTAAAACTCTGTTTTAATTTGTATTTCAATCTGTAAAGTGATAAAAAAAATTATACTACATAGTAATCACTTGATAAATTTTGCTTTAAATCTCACTTCTAGAAATGGTTCTGCCTTGCAGCTGTCATTAAGCTACATGTTACAGCATTCAGAAAATAAATCTTAATAACTCATTTTGCTAGGTACTTAAGACGGTATATTATAAGTGCTTTATATGTATTATTAATTCATCTAATTCTCATAATCACCCTAAGGTATATTACATTGTAAAGGTCAATACATAGGGCCAAAGAACTTTGTTACTTTGCTCATATATCCCTGGATTAAAAGTTCACCCAACTATCTTGTTGCATTCTACACTGCTGCATTTGCACACATAATAATAGCCTCTATAATGTATCATGGCATTTAATCTCCACATTGGCCATTTGAGACAAGTAATATACTTTGATAAAACTGAGGTACTGAGAAATTAAGTTCTGCATCTGAAGCCACAAGTGCATAGTTGAGATTAAAATGCAGGCAAACACAAACATATCTTCCCTATAACTACATGAAGTATCATTTCTCTTACAAATAGGGCTCTAAACTACACAGAACTTTGAAATAAGATGCAAAAAGCTAGCATACACTCACCGTTTATCGATCCTTCTTCCCTAGATCCTGGTGAAGAACATCTTTCAGGATTTTCTTTAAGGAATGATGATGACAGGCTTTTTAACAATGAGCCCTGTTTTTTTTTTTAATTAAAAAAAGGACTATATAAGTTTATCCTTGAAGATCATGGAGGGAAATAGCATTATTGTCTTATGACTTTAAAAATGCCAAAAGTGTTACAGCACTGGAAGCAAGTAAACCTTACTTTCTAGATTTGATGTCTTGGTCAGTAAAAAGTAGTCTCTCATAGGTCACTTAATTCTTTAATTATTACCTCTAAATTTGTAGTGGTCCTCAAAACTCAAAATTCAATCTAAAATTCAATCTTTATAAACATTTCAAGGGACGAATAAATAAGATAGTAAAAACCTTTAGTTTCAAACAAATGCTATTCATGTTCTAAAACCAGGTGGATAGATTATATTCAAATGAAACAAATATACCTGTGCCTACAATAAATTTCTCTTTATAGAACAATATTTTAGCGTAAAGTGGTTACATAATATAAGAATTTTTGTTGCATAGTTTAATTTCCTTCCTACAACAGTTTATGGGTACAAAGAAAGTATATCGAAAGCAATGAAGAGAATGTATTTGGAAAGTGGCAGAAGGGCTGAGCCACTGGGGTCTACTCTGCTAGACAATGTTTCCCCTGAGGAGATTTTCAAGTCAGCAGTGTTTGACTGAAAGCATTTTCCAATCAGAGGACTGCAGACTTCCTGGACTAGCTTGTGAAGTCCTAGGTTACTTAGGACCAGATAAATTAGTAAGTTCAGAGAAGGGCAGTAGCCACAGTATTTGAATATGAAATTTACCTAAAAGCTTGGCACATGTATACAAGGCATAAAGAAAACCTTAGAAGTTAGAAACTGAGTGAGCAGGTGTCTCTTGCCAGGGAGAAAGTGATGAAAATTCCTATGTAGCCACTATATTTTCTTTCTAGAAAACTCATTCACTGACACAGATTTGAATCTAGAATCTTTACAGTATTATCATTCATAATATCCAGTCTTAAAAGTCACTAAATAGGTGAAAGGAAAATAGACTGAAAATTATGACATACACTGATGAAAACAGTAACAAAGAATAGCCAACAGGGATGACCAGGTAACCTGATGACCAGTTCAAGAATGACCCAGATGTACAGTTAGAAAACAAGGCTGGTAAGGTGGTCAACATAAGAATGTTTGAGCATTGTCAGGAAACATGTTTGTGATGTCTGAATAGACAGGTATCATACACCATAGGAGGAGGCTGCAATGCTTGATAAGAAATGTATGCATTATCCTGCCCATGTAATTGTAACCCCTCTGTACAGTATGTTCACAAAAAAAAATAAAATTAAATTAAAAAAAAAACATATACAGAAAATTCAAAAGGACCATGTAACTAGTGAAGAGCTGAAGGTTATCCACCCAGAGGCAAAAAGGCTTCATCAAAACCTGCGTGGTTTTAAAGAAGACTCAGAGCATAGTCAGGAAGACTTCGTAGTGAACATTATGGAAATTAAAATTTTTATGAGTAAGTGTCTAGCAATAAGATAACAGTTCTACATTATGGGCTATGTAACAAAGCTGATTTCAGATTTCTGGCTTTCAAGAGAAAGCCAGAGAATGTGGATGTGGTCTTAAGACCACCTAGTAACATCAAAACACTGTTCAATGGTAGAAAATAGTATCTAGTACCCTCAAAAATTCAAGCCTTCTAGAAGAACTTACGAGCAGATATAATTAGTTAAAATCAATACACACAGGGTTAGGGAAAACCCCAAACCAACAGTGCCGTTCATTAAAGAAAGATGAGGGTGATAGGAAACCCAGGGAAGAAGGCCAGTGGGGATGAAGGTGGGCAGTTGAGCACTGCAGGAGGAAACTGGAGAGGCCGGGGATGCTGCAGGCTCTCCTCAGGCCTTTAGGAACATGGCTCCTGCTTAGTTTAGGGCTGCATTTCAGATTCTGGCTTTAAGACTAAGGCAATAATTTCTTCCAAGTTATCCAGTTTGTGACAATTTGTCATAGCAGCTACAAAAAATTCATGTAATATTCCATTAGCTAGACATTTATATTGAACGAAAATAATTTTTGTTAAAAGCCTACCCAGGCAGGAAAGTCAGTTAGACTCTTATTTCCAATTAAGCATTTAAAACAAACAATAAAATGGAAGTGATCTGTGGTTCAAGTGCTAGAGTGCAAGCCATGAACAAAAAAAAAATATCAGGGATAGCACATAGGCACTGAGTTTAAGCCCCCGGATCAGCATTTAAAGAAGGGGGAGAAAGAGGAGGGAATGTGAGAAAATGGGACAGAGAAAGAGAAAGCGAGTGAGTGAGAGAGAGAGAGAGACAGGGGGAGAGGGAGAGAGAGAGAGTTCAAAAGCCAGATTTCAGGAATACAATTCACTAGGAGTACCAACCTCAAGGTCAACATTTTCAGAGGATGCTTTTTTCTCTACCTCCAATTGTCTGCCATTCAGACATGGAAGAGAAGGATCAGGGTTTAAGTGTCCGTGTGGGGCAGTTTCTTTAGCATCTTCTAGTCTGTCTTTTTCCTCTGTATGGCTACTTTTCTTGAACATGCTCCTTGGAAGAGGTGAAGGCTTTAAGTAGTCTTCTGTTTCAAAGCTACAACTATTTTCTGCTAAGAAACAAAATATTTTACCAAAAAATATTCAGGATTTCAACTATCCCCTGTCAGGTGACAACATACATCTGTCTAGTGCCTTGTCCATAGGACAGTTCAAATGAATCCTAAAACCCTTCTCAATAAGCCCCCAGAAAATATAGACAAGTATTAGTTCATAATCCTAGATTTAAAAACTGCCATCCTGGAAATAACTAATATACTTTGTTTCATGAGAATTTAGCATTTCAACTGTATTAATTCTCAATATTCAAAAAACTTTAAAACACAAAACAAAAGCCTATTTCTATACAAGACCTTGTACATAATATTGCTCTCATAGTCATTCAGACAATGGCTCTGTCAAATGATTTTATAGGTTAGAGTGGGTGAGTATTCTAAACAAAATTATATGACAAAGTAACTGCTATACACATATGAATGTGATGCTACTCGCCCACACAGATAGTACACCTAGCTCTAACTGGAGGAAGGAAGGCAGAAGTAGATGATTAATGAGTTGTCAATCTTCAAATCTATAAAACTGCCCTAGCGGTAATTCAAAGTTTACACTTGGGGACAGGAGATGTAGTTCAGTTAGAGTATGTGCTTAGTGAGCATGCAGAAGGCTCTTGGTTCAGCCCATAGCATCACAGAAACTAACAAATAACAAAAAAACACATGGAATATTGTAGTTATTATTTCTATTACTTTTGACTTTAAAACAAGAAGCTAATAGTGTTATGTTCCTACCTCTCAAAACACTGAGGAACAGTTTTTCATGTATTACTTTTTCTCCTCTTAATTTTACCTGTAACATGTTTATTTTTCCACTCTTCTACAAATGTATTCTTCTACTTCACAACTAGACTAATATCATCTACCTCCTCTTGACTTACAAATAGCTTACAATGGCTATTAAAAGATTCCACAACCACATCAAACTGGTACTACTATACATGTCTCTTTGCCAAGTTTAGCTGTTTCTAAACTCTGGCCGAACAATGCTTGATAGGAAATGGACTCATTACCTTGCTCATGTAACTGTAACCTCTCTGTACAGTATCTTTACAATAAAAATATATATTAAAAAGATAAACTCTGGCCAATGGTCACCCTAAAATCCAAAGGTCATTTGAGGTTTTCCCCTACTACTCCCTATATCCAAAGCACCATTGTAAATAAAGCACCTTTGATACAGCTTTAGGGCTTGGGAATGTGGTTTAGTGGTAGAGCATGTATGAAGCTCTGGGTTCAATTCCTGAGTACTACATACACAGAAAAAGCTGAAAGTGGCATTGTGGCTCAAGTGGTAGAGTGCTAGCCTTGAACAAAAGAAGCTCAGGGACAGCACCCAGGCCTTGAGTTGAAGCCCCAGGACTGGCCAAAAAAAGATTCTAATTCTTAATGTAGCTTTAATCAGCCCCACTATTAGCTCATTACTGATGCTTTCCTAGACCCTGCTTCTGTCAGTCATATCTGTGAAAGGAAAGTCAATCACTTCTCTCCATCAAATTCAACAAGGGTTCCCCAGCATGCAGTCCTACACAACAAAAGCTCAATGACCTCTGAACAACATCAAAATCATCAATGACCTTGTCACTAGCTATCTATGCTTCCCTGTCTCCTCACATGCATTTTGTAGCTTGTGATCCTAGGAGGCTGTGCTAAAGGCTGTTTTGCAGACAGGCCGCAACCCTCTGCTACTGTAACTTTATCCAAGCTGATTCCTTTGTCTAGCTTGCTTCCAATTTCTCCTCGTATCAAAGGCATACATTTGTTTGCAGCCCCAGCTTAAGCAGAATATTCCTGAAAGGTACTGAGCCCAGTAAACTGTAATGACAACATTTACCATGACATCTTTCCTGTAAAATATGCTTATGTTCACAATGCATTATAAATTATAGGAAGAATCTAAAATGTATTATTGTTGCCTAACTAAAAATTTACATTTATTTAATAACAATTCTCAAATACCTAACTCTTTTCCCTCTTCCAGCCTGTAGCAAGTACCTCATATATGAAGCATGGCTTTGATACCTATTAGTTCTATAACCTTACAAAGATTATTTCACCACTATATACCTTGGAGGTTTTCCTATTGGTCAAATGAGTTGCCTGTGTCACTAAGTGAGATGACATATAAAATAATACATGGTAAGTGCTCAGTGAACATTAACACTGGTGGTAAGCCACCCTGTTTTTGTCCTTTTCGTGGTATGTCAATCACTCTTTCATTCTTTGTTTCTCCTTGACTCCATCTATGGTTATCTATGATAAATCAGCACTAGCCCAGCTACAAAGTTCAGGATTTTAGTTATTCTGGCAATAAGATTAAAATAGCATATCCTCAAAAAAAAATGCTTTCTACAGTCATTATCCATGTGACAGTTGCTCTAGAAAATGATCAAGAATACAAAAAACTCTGTGTGTGTGTGTGTGTATGTGTGTGTGTATGTGTGTGTGTGTGTGTGTATTTATCTTCTCTGGTGCTAGTGATCAAATCCAGGGCCTGATGAAGGCTAGGCAAGTGCTTTACAACTGAGCTAAATCTTAAGGAATTATCTCAATTTAACAGTATCTCTTATTAAAACTAGTTAATTCCTAATATTTTATGAAAAAAGAAGGTTAAAGACTTAGATAAGGTTTCACATTCCACCATCGTTGGTGAGTGAATCATTAATATATTCATGTATACATTTAGATACTTCATGGATTCTATATGCAAAACATTACAGTAAGACTACTAGTTTTAAAGAACCCAAGAATAACGACTTTAGTTTATTTCATAACAAAATTCTGCTTCCAGAAATATTGTAAAATTTTAAGAAAGACAAAATGCATTGTGTAAGATCATAGACTATCTACTTAAATCATTATTTTTACGTTACTCATACTGAAAGTAATATTGTAGCTACCTACGTAGAGCATTTAGAATCCTGCTGCCACCTTGTGGTCAACATATAGTATTTCTTTACTCTTGTTCATTAACCACAGCTAAACAAAATGCTTAAATAAGGATACAGGTTGACCAATTGTAACAATGAGATGTACAAAACACTATGTTGAAAACTGAACTTTACAACTTCAGCAGTGGGGAGGGGTGTTAGTTGTGGAGGTGGGAGAGAAGGGATGGTGGAAGGAAAACAAAAGAAACAACAATGCTCAATAGGAAATGTACTCATTACCTTGCTCATGTAACTGTAACCCCTCTGTACAGCATTTTTACAATAAAAAACGTACAAAAAATGTATAAAAACACATTAAGTAAGTGGGCTACTGCTTTAAAGACTACAACTATAAAGCTTTAGGTATACACTTCCACCTAATTCAGATCAATTTTTTCTTCCTATGCTCATATTTTCATAATAGCCAAGTTCAGCTATGTCCCCTCTTCACTGTTGATTCTACTCATTGAATGGAAGGTTCATCATGCTTCCTGTTTGCATTTTTGTAGTGTTTTTAATGGATCCTCAAAGCAATTTTGTAGGACAGGAAGATGAGGTTATATCCACTTCTTCCTAATGAGAGTGAAGCTTAACTTATTTTCTTTTTTTTGGGGGGGGGGGCCCAATCGTGGGACCTGAACTCTGGGCCTGGGCACTGTCCCCTCAGCTCTTCAGCTCAAGGCTAGCGCTCTACAACTTGAGCCACAGCCCCACTTCCGACTTTTTTCTTTTGGTTTATGTGGTGCTGAGGAATCAAACTCAGGGCCTCAGGCATGCAAGGCAAGTGCTCTACCACTGAGCCACCTTCCCAACCCAGCTTAACTTATTTTCTATAGACATACAAAATATATCTGGTGGCCTTGCCCCAGTGTCTTAGACAGTATTTAGTGTTCTTTCTTAAGCTTCTATTTTCTTCTCTCATTTCAAAGTTAATGAAATTGTGTGTGGGGGGGGAGGGGAGGTATTTCCTCAAATCATGTTTGGAATAAATTTTCATCTGATGTTACCAGTGATATCTAACATTTGCTATCAAATATTTACAAGTACTGTCTTTACTGTTGATATAAAAGAAGATTAACCTTCAAAAAATCTCATAACTTCCTTTATTACAAAACAAATTTGAAGACACTAACTCCTTAATCTTATGTTCCCAGACCTGTAGCTTTCCTAGGGCCTTCCAAAGTATGGTTGCTCCCTGCTCTACCCTTGCTTCTCAGGAGGTGGAGGGTCAGAAGGATAGAGGGGAGATTTTCTACTACCTGAGATCAAAGTAGTAACTTCCCTTCCCAAACTAAATTTCAGTGGATTTTCCAAGGCAACAGAAACATCAAATGGAAATTCTGTATTTACTTATGTATTTATGTATGTACAGATACTGTTTTTTTGAGGCCAAGTCACACTATGTAGCCCAAGCTGACCTTAAACTTACTCTCTAAGTAAACCAGAGTAGGCTTGAATGCAAGATCTTCCTGCCTTAGTCTCTCAAGCACTAGGATTATCTGTGCCCTACTCCACTGGTGATATTCTGTTATCTTAAGGGGAGAATAGCAACTTCAATAAACAACAAGAGTAACAACAAAATTTTCTACCTTTAAAGATATAAATGCCAAAAAAATGCTCTGACAAAAATACATAGTATGAAAGTGAATGACTTTTATGTTGCTACTGCTGTTGGTTTGGTTTAGTTTTCAGTGCCAGGGATGGGAAGAAGGGCCATGCTAGGCTAATACTCAACCACTCAGCTATACTTCAAAGTCTTAGAAATGATTTTTGTAAAATAATTTAACTGATATGGAAGGGATTAGAATGGATTCTAAGGCAAAACTGAACCTTACAATCTAGGGTGCTTTGGGAGCTGTCATCCATGGGTGACTGGAACTTCTCTGGCTTTTTATCAAGCACCAACAGATTCAACTGGATATCAGAAACAGAAGTTTTTCTCTATGGTTCTATTATCTTATGTCTACAAAAGTAAAAAGCTAAATATGACTTTTCTACCAAAATATATACTCGCTACCATATAAAAGTATTTTGTTAACTTAAATTATCAAGAATATAAATTATAGTAATCTAACAAATTACCTGAAGATGTACTTTTGATTGGAAGATTTCTGGGTTTAGGTTTCATTTTAATTTTCTGTTGTTCAATTTCTTCATTTTTATTTTGAGATTTGGATGAGGAGTTCATGGCCTGATCTTCACAACTTTCATGTGTTACTTCTTCATTGTTCATACTGACAAATTCTGGCTCATCTTTTGTTATGCTATTGTTAGATTTCTTAGTTTTCAAAAAAGATGGTCTTGGAGAATTATTTTCCTCATCATCTGATAAATGAAAATCATTCACTTTTTTCTGAACTGCATTTTCATCTATTGAGGTATCAGAAAACTCACCTAAGGAAACTGAAACATGGACAAGAAAATAGTTTTAATAGTAAATTTAAAACGTTTTTTTTTTTTGTTTGTCGGTCATGGGGCTTGAACTCTGGGCCTGAACACTGTCCTTCAGCTCTTTAGCTCAAGGCTAGCGCTCTACCATTGAACTACAGTGCCACTCCTGTTTTCTGGTCGTTTATTGGAAATAAGAATTCCGTGGCCTTTCCTGCCTGGGCTGGCTTTGAACTGCAATCCTCAGATCTCAGCCTCCTGAGTAGCTAGGATTACAGGTGTGAGCCACTGGCGCCCAGCTGTAAATTTAAAACTTTTAAGGTGATATTAAAAAATCGATTGCCTTAAAAACTAGAAAGGACTAGAAATGAATTTACAATCACAAATAGGTATGGTACAACTTTCTTGAAAGCAGCTCTTGAAAGCAGCTAATTTAGAAAGATTTTACTTTATGAAATAAAACTTTCAATTTCATAAATCTTTTGAAGCATGTTTCTCAAGTGCCTATAGGGTACTGAGTTTGGTTAGGGAAATGATTTATGCATGTTCCTCCTGATAGAAGCTTCAAGCATTTAAACTCTGTTTAAAAGTAAAATCTTTCCTTGAACATAGTATCATCATGAATTATGCAACTTGTGTGGATAGATGGAGTTGGGAAAGATGGAGGAGAATGATGGGAGGGATGACATTGAACAAGATGCATTGTACTCATAAATTGATATGCTAAAGGGAAAACCCTTTGTACAACTACTTAAAGATAATAATTTTAAAAAATTAAAAAAATACTTATGAGTAGAAGAATTTAATCACCTTTTTTTTCCCCCTATACCATTTAGGAAGCAAAATATTATCTGTTCCCAAATACTACAAGGTATAAATGGAATGCTCATTAAGAATGCTAAATTAGTCGGGCGCCGGTGGCTCATGCCTGTAATCCTAGCTACTCAGGAGGCTGAGATCTGAGCATTGCAGTTCAAAGCTAGCCCAGGCAGGAAAGTCCGTGAGACTCTTATCTCCAATAAACCACTAGAAAACCAGAAGTAGCACTGTCGCTCAAGAGGTAGAGTGCCTGCCTTGAGCTGAAGAGTGCAAGCATAGCACCCAAGCAAGCCTAGAGTTCAAGTCCCACGACTGACCCAAAAAAAAAAAAAAAAGAATGCTCAATTGACAAAAAAGCAATCATTAAACGTTTTCTCTGAAATATTCTAAATGACAGTTAAATGTATATTTGGTTAGTACTGTTGATTGGTCACTAAGTAGCTATAGTATAGCCAGTGTTTTTGTTGAAGTAGTACTTTAAAAGACCTTTCCCCTCCAATGAAGCCTACTAACAGTTACCATTTTCCCACAAATCTAGAATCAGCTAAATTAATTTTTCAAACATTCATTTCAGGGAAAATTATAAAACTTTAAAATTAAGAATGATTCTAACTCATTCAAAAGTCAGAACTCTAATTAATGAAGTCATAAGTATTAACATAAGTGATGGGAGAGGGGAGAGCAGAATGTAACTAAGGAAGTAAAAAGCAGAACAATCTTGGAATTTGCCATCCTTACACATACCAATCTCATCACTGTCAAAGTCATCTGAGTATTCAGAACTCCTCTGTCTGGCTGATCGAGCTGTTATTGCTCTTATTAGCTCATCCTGAAATGAGATCATTAAAATTAATCCCTATTTATACATGGTATTCTCAGAGTTAGAATTCTTTAATCTAATAACACTTGATTCATACCTGCTTTCAAACTAAAGCTTCACTAATCTAACAAACATTCACTCGAGTTCACTTTTTGCCATGCACTCAAGTCATCAGACTCAATTTAAATCATCCAAATAAGAGTCCTCCATCAAGGAGCATAAAACTAAAGTGAAGGAGATGGAACTATCAAACAAATTAAGTGCAAGTTATAGTTTGAGCTAAAGAATAATGTATCAGGAGATAAAATTTAGTCATCTACCTATCTAGCTTCTTACCTACCTACCTACCTTTCTATGTGCTGGAATAAAACCAATAGCAGATCACATACTAAGCACATAATCTCCCCTTTCTGAGCATGTTGCAGAAATAGATAAAAATCAATAAAGCACATTTGAAAACTGTAAAGCAAAAAAACTGTAGTAACCCAACCAAAAAGAAAATCACAAATTACATTACTTCCAAAAAAGCGTTTACAGAAAAATACAATTTTAATCTTTTTAATTTGATGAAAACCGAGTATTGTGGTTATTTGATAGTCTGGTCACAAAAGAGAAACTTTGGCAATACTGGAACCCAAACATAGTGTCTCATCTACTACCACCTGAAACAGAACTGAAGGTGTTCAGGACCATGCTTAAAATCACTAAGTACCATACTGCTAATACATGCTTACATGGTAAAGTCACACAAAACAAAAATGCTTTGAAATAGTTTACCTGGAAAGATGTTCTTTTGGTAACTTTTGGACTTTTCGTATATGCCAAAGTAGTACTGAAAACGTCCTCAGACATAGTGTATCTTTTTTTGTTTTCTCTTGAGCTTTATAAAATAGCTAATAAGTAATTGGAACAATTCAATCAATCTCTGATGGTGAAAATATTTTTTAAAAATTGCACATTTGAACATTTTACTACAACCGATAGTGTAATTAAAAAAGAGCCAAACCAAATACGAAAATATATCATAAACTTTAAACTATAGCTTCCATCTAAAAATGTAACGTTTTTGTAATATCAAAATCTCACAATAAACCTGCTATCAAAAAGAAAACAAAGAAAATGTCAAAAGATGTTAACCTAAAACAGTTTTGCATCTATTTTTAAAAATGATCAATTGTTAGCCGGGCACCGGTGGCTCACACCTGTAATCTTAGTTACTCAGGAGGCTGAGATCTGAGGATCACAGTTCAAAGCCAGCCCGGGCAGGAAACTCCGTGAGAATATTATCTCCAATAAACCACTAGAAAACCGAAGTGGCGCTGTGGCTCAAGCGGTAGAGCACTTGCCTTGAGCCGAAGGGCGCAGAGACAGCGCCCAAGCCCAGAGTTCAAGTCCCACAACTGGAAAAAAAAATGCAACAAGTAAAAATATACTAAATAAAATAACAATATATTGCATTTTAGTCCTATTCATAAAAACCCAGTATTTCTAATAAAACCTGCCATGCTTTAAAAAAGGCGTGTCAGGGTAAAACATGACAGAAGCACCACCCTTCTCCATGCAAACAACTGCTTACATATGACTTCATTGCAAGAAAAAGTTCAATGTTCTAACTCCGAAAAGAGATTTTTTTCAAGCCTCCCATGTGCCTTCACAAAAAGTGCTAACAGCACTTTAGGGCCCTACTAATCTGTTCTGGGGGCCCATAAGGGCCCCATGACCTTCCGTCCCGCTGCGCATCCTCCCGACTGCGCATCCTCCCGAAGGGCCCAATGCATCCCCGCCGCTCCTGCCCGGGCCCCGCGCATCCCCGCCGCCGCTCCTGCCCGGGCCTCGCGCATCCCCGCCGCCTCGCGCATCCCCGCCGCCGCTCCTGCCCGGACCCCGTGCATCCCCGCCGCCTCTCTAGCCCGGACCACGTGCATCCCCGCCGCCTCTCTAGCCCGGACGCCGTGCATCCCCGCCGCCTCTCTAGCCCGGGCCCCACGCATCTCCCCGCCGCCGCTCCTGCCCGGGCCTCGCGCATCCCCGCCGCCGCTCCTGCCCGGACCCCGTGCATCCCCGCCGCCTCTCTAGCCCGGACGCCGTGCATCCCCGCCGCCTCTCTAGCCCGGGCCCCACGCATCTCCCCGCCGCCGCTCCTGCCCGGACCCCGTGCATCCCCGCCGCCTCTCTAGCCCGGACCCCGTGCATCCCCGCCGCCTCTCTAGCCCGGGCCCCACGCATCTCCCCGCCGCCGCTCCTGCCCGGACCCCGTGCATCCCCGCCGCCTCTCTAGCCCGGACCCCGTGCATCCCCGCCGCCTCTCTAGCCCGGGCCCCACGCATCTCCCCGCCGCCGCTCCTGCCCGAGCCACAAGGATCCCCCGCAGCTCCAGCCCGGGCCACGCGCACCCCGCCGCCGCTGCTTCAGGCCCGACAAGGGGGCGCCTGCGTCCCGCCAGCACCACGCTGCGCCCAGGCCCTGCATGCTCCCGGACGCGGACTTCCAGCACCCTTCCGCTTCTCCCACAATCCGTGCATTCCGTACCCGCCCTCGCTACTCCCAAGACCGACTCCCTGCGACCCCGAGAACCTCGCGGCCAGCTTCGGGCCGGGGAGTGTCCCCAGGGTTGGGGCCTGGATGCGTTCAGAAGCCCCGCAGCCCAGTATGCCAAGGGGCGGGACTAAAGTTGGAGGAGGCAGGCAGTTGCTAGGCAACGGCGTCCCAGGGAGGAAGTGACTTCCACACCGCCGAGTCTCTTGGGTACCCCACACAACCCTTCGGCCCTAGGTGTTGCTGGGGCAACTGTACCGTACAAGGAAGTGACGTCACCTGCCTAGTGGTTGGGCCAGCCTCCTATGTGCTTCTGATGTTGTCTGGGAGACAGGGCCCGCCCACATTCCCGCCAAGGCCGCGAGAGCCTTGGGGGAGTGTGGGGGCCGGCGGGGGAGGTGATAATCTCAAAAGCTGCTGGGACTATTGAATGAAATAATTCAGGTGGGAGACGTGAAGGAAGCCTGGATTACATTTGGTATTAGATACAGGCTTTATACAACTAAAGTTAGATTTGGTATGGACTGAAGTATCCCTAATGCACATGGCTGTGAGCCCATGTCACCTTTTGCTTTAATGTATAATTTCTCCTTGGTTCACTTAGTGGGTAATTCTGTGAAAACAAAATCAGTCAAAAAAATAATCTAGTAAGCTGGAGGACCACCTACTGCTGACTTTAGCAGCTAAAGGAGCCAAGGTCACACTGAAAGGATCCTCAGGACCCTTCCAGGGGACCATGCAGATGGAGGCAGGCAGAACAGGAGAAACATTATTGTAAGGTTTATATCTCCCGGGCTGAGGGAGCACATGGCGTCGGTCCCCATCTGGGTCTAGGTTGGGTCTGGGCGGAGAGAGGGAGTGGCCAGAGGGGGGAACTCAAGCCAAGGAGGAGCTCAGGTTTGGGTGGAGCTGAGGACCAAAGGTGGGGTTAATACACACACTGGTAAATTAACAAAGATAACACACAAAAAACTGTCATAAGGTTACTTGTTTAAAATTTTTAAATAACGTGGAGTTCAACTACTTTTAGCTTGTTAAAAACGTTTCCAGCCTGGTGCTGGTGGTTCATGATGTAATCCTAGGTACTCAGTAGGCTAAAATCTAAGGATTACAGTTGGAAGTTAGTCCTGCAGGAAAGTCTATGAGATTCGTATCTCCAATTAACCACAAAAAGCTGGAAATGGAGGTGTGAAAAAGCTAAAGGACATCATAAAGGCCCTGAGTTTAAGCCCCAGTACCAACACCAAAACAAAAACAAAAGCCTTAACCTTGTTTGAATCCTAAAGTAATTCATGTACTAGTAAACTTATGGTTTTTATTTTTTCCTCATGTCTACAATATTTTACTTATTCAATATTTATAAATAAATCACGTTGAGGTATAGACTTAATAAGCCAGCATACTGCAAAATTGCATAAAGCAAGAAATACAAATTCTTAAAAGCATACCACTTTTAATAATACTTGCAATGTACCTTTTAAAAATGTTCATCTTATGTTCATGTTTGATCAACATTGGCTTGATTTCAAGATTTACAAACATTTCTGAGAATCTCTGCATAAGAGAAAGATTTTCAATTCTCACTAACTTCTCAACTATGTAAATTATTATTTATCAAATCTGAATCCTTTCAAGTACCTTCCCACAAATACATGTACCTACATTTTACTCTTATGTGACACACTAATTTACTCATGCTTACTTACATTCATCCCAAAGTGTCTGTTCTATTTATTTATTTTTATTCATTTGCTAATATGTTTTGATTTATACATGATTTAAGAAAATAAAACCCATAAAATGTCAATAGAAAGAACCTTTGAGGAAAGATCTATTTTTTTTTCCCACAGAACACCCTAGATTTTTAATTCTCATTAGTTAGTAATTGATAATAATTTGAGATGATGTAAAGCTATGCCATGGAAAGCTGAAGTAAACAGAAACAATTAAATACTGAAATGACTAATTTCTCCAAAGGGCCCAAAGTAATCTTTGAACTCCTATCTTACTTAAGCTGCAGAATTTGTGACATATTAATAATTTATAGCAGCTTCAGTATATGTTAATAGTAATATTGCATAATACATGATTTAATGGCACAATTTTGTCAAATTCAATAGAGTTGACAATAGCTACGAAAATGTTGAACAGGTGAGATCACCTATAAATTAATAGTGCTTCATATAGAAAATTTTAATTGTTGCAAAAGAAGCTCAAGTTCTCTTAAAAATCAAAAATACACCTGGGTGGTGGTGGCTCATACCTGTAATGCTAGCTACTCAGGAGGCTGATATCTGAGGATCACGGTTCAAAGCCAGCCAGTCAGGAAACTCTGTGAGACTATTTATTTATTTATAATAAGTTTTTTATTGTGGAAATACTGCACAGAGGGGTTACAATTACATGAGCAAGGTAATGAGTACATTTCTTATAAAGCATTGTTGCCTCCTCCTTTGTTTTCCCCTACCATCCCTGCCCTCCCATCTCCACCACTATACTCCCCCACCCCAAAGTTGTAAAGTTTGTTTTTCAACATAAGGTTTTGTACATCTCATTGTTGCAATGGGTCCACCTGTATCCCTATTTAAACAATTTCTTTTTTCCCTTCCCCGCTCCAAATTATACCAACATCAAATACAGTGAAAACAGGGGTTATACCATGGGGGAGGGACATACAAAGTAACAAAAAAATCACCTTATAAATACGTTAGAAACAATAGCAAGAAAGAAACTCTTATCTCCAATAAACCACTCAGAAAACTGGAAGTGCTGCTGTGGCTCAAGTGGTAGAGCACTTGCCTTGAGCTGAAGAGCTGAGGGACAGCGGCTAGGCCCAGAATTCAAGCCCCATGAAAACAAGAACACTATAGCACACAAAAGGTCAATACTTTATGCAATATTTTCTTCATACAACATTTGAATTTGATAGCATTTCTAGTTCTGAAGTTTGCCTTCACTCTCTTGTTCATTTCTTTAGTGTATTCATATACATAATATATTCTGGGTCTGGTTTTAAGAGTCTAAAGATAAGATAGGCCTCCTAGAAGCTAGAGATGGTTAGAAGACTGAGTACATACACAATGGTAATATATTGAGATGATTAGTGCCTACAAGAGCAGAGATGCTTTCTAGAGATTGGAGAATTCTTCCTGGAGGCATTAGGACATTTTCAGAGTTTAGGAGATGGGAAATATACAAGAAATACAAATAATACAAGTATACAAGAAATACAAATGAGTCAAGAATGTGGAGCCCACTTCACAAGGATACTGAATGAATATTGGTACTGCCTAGACCAATGCTCAGGAGAGACAGTGGTGGTGGTTTGCTATAATGCTTGTTAGGCAAGAAAGGGTGTTGAGAAGGCCTATTTCCAGAACAAGAAGCAACCTAGAAGTGACATTCCTTGAAAAATCTTTACTCTCATCAAGCCAATTATTTATGGTTTTGTGACTAGCAGCACATTAGAGATTAGAAAAAAATTAGAATTAGGCAAAGGGTCTTGTGGTCAGAGTCTCCATTGGATGAATTATAACAACTACACTGAAAATTCCCCATTGGTGAAGAAAAGAAGGAAGGTAGCACTCTAGATAGAAGTAGAGTGAACACTGCTGATTGGTGGGATGAGAATTTTTGTAAGGAAGGAACTCATAGAAGGTGAAGCATGATTGTATCAAGCCTGTGACCAAATGGGGTAAGGAAGGAGGAAAGAGATGTATAATCTATCTAGAAGTTAGTGGTAAAAGAAAGAATGAGTATAAAAACAACTTGAAGCTGGGCGCTGGTAGCTCACACCTGTAATTCTAGCTATTAAGGAGGCTGAGATCTGAAGATCACAGTTCAAAGCCCGCCCAGGCAGGAAAGTCCATGAGACTCTTATCTCCAAAAAACCACCAGAAAAATGGAAGTGGCATTGTGGCTCAAGTGGTAGAGTGCTCACCTTGAGCTGAAGAGCTGAGGGACAGTGCCCAGGCCCAGAGTTCAAGACCAACAACTGAAAAACAAAACGACAACAAAAACAAAACCAACTTGAGACACAGGTAATTCTGAAAATCATATTTATGGAACTAGAACAGTGAAATCTGTTGCAAGTGTTCTGGGTAGTGATGGTGGAAGAAATTGATCCAGGTGCAGAGTATACTTGTATGGAAGTATCACGTTGTACAACTGAAGAATGCTATATATGATTAAAGAACAAAATGCCAATGGTTCACACTGTAATCCTATCTACTCAGGAGGTTAAGGTCTAAGGATCATTGTTCAAGCCAGCAAAGGCAGGAAAGTCCCTGAGACTCTTATCTCCAATTAACCTCCAAAAACTGGAAATGGCTCTGTGGATCAAGTGGTACAGCTCCAGCTTTGAATGGAAAAAGCTAAGGAACAGAGCCAGGACCAAGTTTTTCCTTTCTTAGAAATAAAAAGGAGGAAGAGGAAGAGGAGGAAAAGGAGGAGGAAGAGAAGGAAAAAAACAAGAAGAGAATATACTATTACTTTCACTATGTTATTATTTCATAAAGTTTTAGGAAATTTTTTACATTTAATAAGTTGTTACATTTATAAAACTAGATTATTCTTACTAAGAAATTGATACCGTTTCCTCTTTGCTAATTTTGCATATACTGGCTAGATAATTTTGATGCAGTGTTTCTCCTCTGTGCAGTTGGTACCTTTCTGCTCTGTGCACCTGCACTTAAGACAGATATTGTGGGATAGGAGATGATAATTACTTATTTACATTACTGTTTACTCCCATGTTATGTTTGCTTTTCACAGTTTATCTGATTTTATGGAAATGAAAAGCCAGCTACTTAGAAGGAATTTCCTTTTAAAAGATCAATTATTTCAGGATTCTCAAGGATAGTCCAGAATCCAACTATAGGTTCATGAGAACAAACCAAATTATTCAACATTATGCATGAAAGCTAAGTTTGGTTTGTCATGTGTTCATGAGAAAATGGAATCATCATTCTTCTTTATCTTCCAGAGAAGCTGCTGTAGGAGAAAAAGCTCCTTTTGCTTGCACCAATCACAAAGTGCCAGGAGGTGGCAGTAAAGGATCTTCCACCTAAGGTACAATAATCTTGAGCTGCTATGCTGCTTTAAATGA